GTGTTCTCAAGATTAAAAACATATCTTGAAAGCTCAAACACGAACAGATAGACAGACAGACAGACGGACGGACAGACAGGTAGACAGAGATAGATAGATAGATAGATAGATAGATAGATAGATAGATAGATAGATAGATAGATAGATAGATAGATAGATAGATAGATAGATAGATAGATAGATAGATAGATAGATAGATTAGATCGTGGATGGTGGGGTGAATGGATGAGTGGGTAGCCCAGTTGATGCACGGGTAGACAAATAGACGTAATGATGGCTATGCTATACTCGTGGCTGGATGGATCGGCTGAGGTTGGCCAGGTTTTTAGCTGCTTAAATAAGCCTTATTCAATTTATATAACAGTCGTCTAGCGCCTGTTTCACTTAGAGTGGCTACCATATCACAGTAATTCTCCACCTGTACATGTGCTAATCTTCGAACCTCGGCTCGTATTGAAAGCTGTGTTCAACCAGTATTAGCTAATATTTTTTTTTCCCCAGCCGTTTTTTGGAAAATGACACCACTAATACTATATTAGGTAGTTGGTTACGTCTTTTTTTTTTTTTAATAGAAAAATAATTAATGTTGTTTGAGTGTTCGTTTTAAACACATGCAAAGAATACACTTTCATTAAGGATTTGTTACATCCCGAAAAATATCTTTGTCGCTAAAGACCACACAACAGTACAGGACTATCGTGCAAATAACAATGCAGAATGCAGCTATCAAGTTATTGGAAAAAATAGTGAAACCAAATATCATGATTTTTAAAGTTACAGGAATCCCCGTGGCGTAGCGGCTAGACGCTCGCGTGCGGATCAGGAGGTCGTGGGTTCGCTCCCTGGCTCAGCCAGACTTTTTTCAAAAATGACCTTGACTCCCAGGTCGACTTAACCTTAAGTGGGTACCAGGTGCAGTCCCGGGAAATACAGGCGACCGGCGTGATTGATATTACAAATATACGTCTAGCCCCATATGCCCTAGACGCCTGAAGGCGTGAAAAGGAGGTCTTTAAAAATGTATGCCCCCTTTCACCAACCTGAGAAGATATCGCATAAACAGAGTCCTATGGAATGCAGCAATCTTTGCACATGACCCGGTCATTTAAAATTGTGCTGCTGTAATTGATCTTCAAGATGCATACATCAAGATAAAATTTGACTTAAATGTGCGGCTTCTTGATCTTAGGTTATCCCTTTTCCTCATTAACTGGATTGTCTCGTCTCTCTTCGAGCAGAAAGCGACGTTTAACTGTCGTGTGGTAACTGGGCATCGAAACCATTAACTATATAGCCTGGTCTGCCGTAAGGTTCCCATCTATCCCCGATAATTTAAACATTTTCACTATGAGAATCACAAAGATAGACATTGTTCTACCTGATCATCTTGTGTGTATCGCCAAAGCAGCGGCCAAGAGCGGGTTGTCGGGGACCTTCAGACAGAGCTCAATCGCATAAGCAGATGGTGCATTGAGAGCGTTCGTCAATGTTTTGAAGTCATCAGTAACAAGGTTTTCGCTGTATAGCCGTATTATGTGTTGTCCATCAAGATCCTGATGACCACTCTTTTTCATCAAGTATGAGTACGAAGATGACTGAAGAGGCCGATGCGGGCCCGCAAGGTTCTTGGACAATGAGGACAGGGAAAGAGCATTGTGCCAGGAAGGGGATCTCCTGTAGTTGCCTTTCTGTCCATCCTTTTCTTAATCAGTCTCGCTGTTCTGTTTGCTTTACATGTAGCCACGCCCTTGTGTAGAGCTGCACGCCATGCATTTTGTCTTGAGAGGCAGCCTCCCAATTGGTGTCGTTCATCCCAAATGCTTTGAGTGAAGACTTCAAGGTGTCCTTAAAGCGTTTCTTTTGCCCGCCTTGGGAACGTTTCACTTTTTGCAGCTCACCATAGACAAGTTTTTTGGGAAGCCTGTGATCTGGCATCCGTGCCACACGACACAGCCCAACGAATTTGATACTACATCAGTAGAGTGTGGATGCTGGGCATAGCTGCTTTCTCAAGGACTACGGTATCAGGTACTTTGTCTCGCCATCTGATGTGCATGAGTTTTCTAAGGCAGACTGTGAAAGTGGTTTAACTTTCTGGGCTGGCGCTGGTCCATGTTTCGAATTCGTTCAAAAGTGTAGTTGATACAACTGCTCTGTATACGTTAAGCTTTGTCTGTAGGGTTATGCCACTTCTGTTCCAAAAATTTTTTGTACAATCTGCCGTATTATAAACACACCGACAGCAGATGTGAATCTTTTCGGAAATCATACAAAGAACTCGCACAAAGAAGAACGAACCCAGGAGTTTGTTTTGATCATAGTTTTGCTTTTTATGAGCATGTACACCAGCTAATAATCAAGACAAAGACAGGTTTGACAGTGCTAATGTGTCATGGAACAGGTTTCTTTTTCACTCACTAGGGTGTGTGTGTGGATTTAGATCCTCCTTCTTGATGCAAATAAGAAACGGAGACAGGTGTCTTTTGATGCAAAAGAGCAGACAGTGTCCCTGGATACTCATATACAGACTCGAGTTGATTCGTGTAAAAAAAGTGAGTTGACTGAATATCCCCCGTAAATGGGAAAAGGGAATTTAGATGTCTAGAGAACACTTAGAGCAGATTATCTATCTCTCCCGACCATTTATCTTTCTGGTCGTTAAATTAAGCCCCCATCTATATTAGGTTTATTGGTAGACAGCCCTAACATGATACCATACACACATCTAGAAAGTCATTAAACTTAAAATATGAATGTAAATCAATCATATATATGTTTATTAAAATAAACAAAAATTATAATATTGATAATTCTGCTGACTGAGGTGCAGTTATTTACACTGACAGATCCGTCATTCGACACGTAAAAAGCTCACTACAAGAAGTCTTATAGCGGCAATAACAGCAATGGTGTTGCTAGAGACACAACATTTCCCTGTGAAGATCGAGTCAGGATGGGTCCAAACAATAACTAAGGGAGAAAAAGAGGGGCAGGGTCATTGAGGAAATCGTGTCTGACAGAAGTAAGTTTCATGTTTTCGTCAGGACTCCAGTGTAACAGGGAATGAAGGAGCGGATTAGTTTGCTGGCAGGGCCATTGTAGATAAAGGAAAAGCAATGGACCGGGTCGATATCTCAGTGCTCTTAGGAGACAGGACAAGTGAATGATTCAGGAAACGACGTTAAGTCGGAACCAATCTCCAAAGATGAATAGGTATAAAACACAGAAACAGTGTTATCGGTCGCCACACACATATATATATATATATATATATATATATATATATATATATATATATATATATATATATATATATATATATATATATTCATTCATTCACTAGCATGTCCCTCGCGGAACCTCGCTGCCATAACAACCCTCCGGAAAACCTTTCTATCCTGAGCAAGATGTCCTGCGTCTGATACACCCATCTGGAGATCATCTGCCACATCCTGCACCCATCTTCTCCTTGGCCTTCCTCTTCCTCTCTTCCCAGGCATATACCCCTCCATTATTGTTCTCTCTAGACTTCCTTGACGTTTCAAGTGACCAAAATATTTCAATTTTCTTTGTTTTATTGTCTTTACTAGCCAACCCTCTTCAATATTCAGCTCTTGAAGTATGGATGCATTTGTTCTTTTCTTTACCCAAGATATTCTTAGAACCTGTCTGTAACATTTATATTCAAATGCATTTATGCGCTGTTCCGCTTGTTCAGTAAGTGTCGAGGTCTCACAGGCGTATGTTGCAATGGGAAAGATGCATGCTCTTAAAACTCTGACCTTTGTAGTTCTATCTGTACAATTTCATAATTTTATATATATATATATAAAAAGCAGGCAATGTATGAATCGACACTCACAGAAAAAAGTAGAAAGGGCAAGTTACTCGTGTTCCCATAGCATGGCGCACATGTCATTTTAAGATGAAGGTTCGATTGCTTAACATTTTTTTAGGTTGTCTGGTGTGTCCTTCTATCTTTCTACTTCTTTCATATAAGTGCCCATTAATACATTGTCTGTTTTCTTATTACATATATTTCTACTGTGTAAATTGTTTTCCTCTCTGATTATTTATGTGAATTACGTGCAATACAAATGGAACTGACCAATTAAATATCTTTCTTAAATATTTATTGTATTCTAGACGCAGCGTGACTGTCTGATATGTTTGTAATTAGTGTAGTGTTTGTTATTCAAGATAATGCTTTGTTTATATATATATATGTGTGTGTGTGTGTGTGTGAGAGAGAGACCTATGGTGCCAATTTAATGTTTGAGAATAATTCTGCATGTATTCTATAGTTGTGGACTTCATGTTGTATGATTTATGGCCAATGAAGACATTCTTTTACGATGCCTACTTGGTGACAGGTTCGATTCCTGGCAGGGTAAAACACGTTTATGATTTTTATTTATGTTGTCTAATGTGTCCTTCTGTCTAGTTATTTTTTCCTATAAGTGGCGATAACTATATTGCCTGTGTGTAATAGTAAAAGCTAGTGCTCTGGGCAATCGAATCTTTGTCTTGCATGAAATGTGTTTAGATTTCCATAAGGTTTGCTGCTTGGCAAGGTCTGATGTTGACTGGGCAATCCTAGACATAATATATGGTCTTTACCCCAAGTCATTTAAAATGGATCCTAAATATTAAAATGAGTCACTTGTTCTAATTAAATTTGTAACCTTTAAAGTAGATACTAGATCAGATCGGTGAAATTCTGCCAGCTGGAATATTAGTCATTTCTTTGTTTTTTATTCTGCGTTTATTTCCATGTCATACTTGGTTGATGTTTCATCTAGTAGATTTACAAGCTTGACTAGTTCTTGTTTTTCTCCAGCCAACTTATCAATGTCATCTGCAAACCTAAAGTTTCGTTTGTTATATTTCGACCTCCGATACTGTTCTAGGGCATCACCCACACATACACACGGAAACAACAACAAAAAGTAAACGGGAAATAGCTCATGTAAAATTTATTTTGTTTTCTTTGAGGAGAGCTCGACGCCATGGTCACAACTGCGGAGGTATGCTCAGAATAATATGAATTGATGCAATTGAAGTTAACAAAATAACATGTCATGATTATTCGTTTCCTTTGAATATTACTGACCTTGCGTTGAAACGCGTTTGATCCTACTGAAACGTGCTGTTACCTTTTAGAGACAAGACGGTATTTTTTTAAATGTGGCTTGGAAACAAAGTCTCCTCTGTGTCGTCTTGTTGGCAAAACTAGTGCAAACTAGTTGCAAACAATAACACATATAAGTGACTGTGTAGATGTTGTACATCGTCATTGTTTTAAGATATCAATTAGATTCTCGCAAATAATAATTACTGTCAGGGGATGTCCAACTTCAAGCAAGTCAACTAAACTTTAGGCTATCTTCCAAATAACGGTCCTAAATTATCGAGTCGGAAAATTTATATATACCCTAACAGGGCCCCATTCACGTGTCACTTGCGCACTTCCCGGGACTTTAACGCCACCGCCGAATTGCGAGCTTCCGGGGACCATACCGCCACCGCCGAAAGTATCCCCCCACGGTGCGTGAGCGGCGTGGATTGGGGCTAAACTAGATGGCTAGGACTCAAGAGCAAATAAAATTAAGGAAGCTGCAGGAGATGCGGTTGCTGCTGCTCGTGAGTCCCAGCCATCTAGTTTAGCCCCAATCCACACCGTGTGGGGGGATACTCTCGGCGGTGGCGGAAGTCGCCGGAAATGCGCAATTTAAGACAACGAAAGTGCGCAAGTGACACATGACTGAGGCCCTGTTAGGCTATATTTTCTGCCTCGATAATTTAGGAACGTTATTCGGAGGATAGCCAAACTTTCTTAAGCCTAGCTGTACTCCTTACAAAAATGTTCCCTTATTTAATTATCTTCTAAAACAGCTATTGTTGTCTTAAGTTGTATGTTCCCTTTCTCTTGTTGCACAAAAGTCTAACTTTTTCATACTTTGGTTACATTGTCTAAATTATTTTTAAATCTTGCAACTATCATAGTTGCATTTCACCCAGAAAAGGAAATCCAGTAGTGCCTCACTCAAGCCTCTATGTCAGGGTTAAGTGGAGATTTTATTTCTTAAGTTAAATTGGTTCTTATTACGTTTTCCGGCCCAAACACACACTGATAGACCTTTCATGTCACATTGGCTAGTCTATGTTACAGGGATGTCATGTTGTATTGTCTTCGCAAAGCCTTCTGAGTTTTATGTTACTCAGTGTTGTCAGTAGCGGCCAGCGACATTGCATTTACTGGTTGTTGTGAACAGCGGCTTGTGAGAAACCATAGGGCATAGACTGCACTCTTTTATGAGGCTGTGGGTAGGTGGGGTTCTAGATGTTGTGGGGTCATATGTGTTATAGAACACGCTGGAGACAAGTGAGCGAGCAGGAATGAAAGGTTAGCCAGTGTTTATTTGGACCGGAAAACATAATAACTGTTAAATTATACAAATAAATGGAATATTAAGGAAAATATTTTTTCAGTAATTTCAGCACTTTTAGAAAATACATTTTTACTGTACTTAGCAACCATATATCAATATGTTTATGACGACAAGACCCAAAGGATAAACAATTATTTACACAAGAAAATAATTGTTTATGGCATATTTTAATACATGTTAAACTGCCATCGGGTCATTACTGTACAGAACACATCGCCATTTGCCGACATTAGTGTTAGTTATATAAAACACAATTGGCTATTGCCACACATCACCATAGAATTTGAGAATTGAATTTTAAGACATTTTTCAGCAACTTAAATAACTGAAACTTTTCAAAGACATATTGAAATGAATGTTGAATTAAACTTTAAAGTAATTAACATTGTCTGTGGATGTATAATAAATAAAACCGTTGTGATCACTGTGACATTTTTCACCATTGGAATTAGAGGCTATCCTCCGAATAACGGTCCCGAATTATTGAGGCCGAAAATATACCCTAACAGGGCCTCATCACATGTATATTGCGGACCTCTTCATGGGACTACACAGCATACCGCGAAAAAGCTTCTGCTGAGTTAAAGTCACTGCTGAGAGCAGCCCCTACCGCATCTCATGCAGCTTTCTCCATTTTATTTGCGTGTGAGTCCCAGCCATATAGTTTAGCCAAACTCCGCGCCACACATAGCGGCGTGGGAGATAGTCTTGGCAGTATGCTGTGTAGTTGCCGGAAGAAGTACGCAATTTACATGTGACTGTGGCCCTGTTTGGGTATATTTTAGGCCTCAATATTTTGGGACCGTTGTTCGAAGGATAGCTGAATTAGATATTGCTTTCTCTCATCACAATACGATTTAAGAATTGAGACATTTTTTAACAAATCACCTAGCAAAACTTTCCAGATGCATGTTGAAATGAATGCTGAATTACACTATATAAAAATTAACATTATCTGGGATGCTTAATTTATTTAAATATATTAAACTCATGGTTCATTACAATTCCTAGCATCATTTGCCACACTTTCTCAGCAAATCAAAACTTTCTAAACACACAGTAACTGAATGCTGTATTTAAAATTAACTTTCAAAATTTACATAAAAAACGAATGCCATTTTGTATTTTATGAAGAATAACATTGTTTGCAAGCTAGTAAACAATATTTCAGTTCTGCTGACCTCTTAGAAGAACAGTCAAGATCTTTTGATACATGTATATGTTGCCAGTTCATACAAATCTGAAAAACTAAAATTTTTAAAATGTTAAAGTAGAAATGCAGCCGAAAAGTTTCTGGAAGTCCACCCTAAGAAACTAGAGCAAGAGAAGAAGAAGCAAAACAAATGTGGAATGTTGGAGAGTTTTTAAAAACATCAAAATCTCTAGACCAGCGGTTTTTAAACATTTTCCAGCATGGCACCCTTGTTTGGCACACATTTTTTGCGGCACACCTACCCTAAAGCTTTTTGAATATTTAAGAGAGAAAAAAAAATTGCACATTTAATGTTCAGGCGTCTTTAATGCGATGAATGAAACTGATAGGATGAAGTTTTCATTATTTCCTTTATGTATATGGGAAGTTTAATTAATGTAACTCTCAAATCACTTGACCCAGAAAGTTTGCTCCTGTTTTGTTTTTTGTGTGTAAGCGTAAGTTGAGAATGCCCTGCATCCTTGCCAAAGGCATTGTCTTCTGAATATAATTGCATCCAGAACTCTTCTTGGCTTCCTTCACGTTGTTTCTGGGCTTCCTTCACGTTGTTTCTTGGCTTCCTTCGCGTTGTTTCTGTTTTCAACTGCTGCCTTCGCTCATCTCAAGCACATTAAAAAAAATTATTGATTATTGCCGCGTCACCTCTGTTATACGCTCACGGCACCCAGTTTGAGAACCGCTGCTCCAGACCATTGAGCAGATAGGCATGCATGAAGACCACAGCTTCATAACTATCAGATCTTTAAAATCTTCTTCTTTTTTCAATCCTTTTGTCCAAAAACTTATATCAAGAGGCTGGTGGTCTTTATGAAAGCTTTCCTGCAGTCCATATCTCTTCGCATGTTGGAACAGTCCAGATTGCATCTCTGTTGTCAGCTTATAGTTGACAGTGTTGGAGCACATGCTCAGCATTTTCTGATGCCACGCTACAGGGACACGTCTCTGTGTTTCCTGCACCGAAAAGTTTAAAAGTATGTTGATATAGTCTATTGTGCCGTGTCCTTAATCTGAATATAAAACAATGTCCCTCTCTAGAGAGGTGATGAAGCCAGTCTTGAGATAATTTTATATATTTGTATCCAGCCACCTTTCTTGGATACTAGATTGTAATAATGTATAAGACTCATGTACCATGTTACCACTTCTGGCCAATCTGTCTGCTGTTTCATTGCCTTCCAAGCCACAGTGACCTGGAATCAACTGCAGTACAGACTGTTCTACTGAAGAGCCTAAGTAAATCAGATGTTTCTTCATGTCTACAAACTGAATGTCTTTTAGGTTACCGTTTGCTTGTAGAACTGACATAGCATCAGTCAGAAAGACCACTCTGCTATATTTGCTGTGCTGTTGTCCATTCAGAAAAGAACATGCCATCAGAAGTGCATCTGCCTCTGCTCTGTAATTGAATGAATATGAACCTGTTGGTTTAGTTTGTTCAATTTTTAAACCATTTGGGCATTCTAAATATATTTCTTATCCTCCGTTTTTTATTGCTGTCTTGGCTGAACTATCTGTATATGCTCTAATCTCTAATCCAACTCTGATGTGGAGAAAGTCTGTTGTTCTCTCCTGCTGTAATTGACTTCATATCAGTGCTGCTCATAGATGATTTAGAGGAGATCCCTGTTACAGTGGTTCTGACTGTTGGCAAATTATCCCTAAGCCAAAAAAAAAGGGGGGGGGGGAAGCATTGGCTGTAAAGTTTCAGTGGCACATTTGGTACTATGAGAGGGTGTGTGAGGTCTGCAGGTTTGGCATTTGCGTTCTTAATTAAACATGTTCTTTTCAGTCTAGCCCTCTGGTTGTCTGCAGTCAATTGTGCGTGGGGTGTTCTTTCAGGTAGTGGTATTTGATATTTTGCTGTCCGGAACTAATTTAAAATGTAAGTATTTAACAAGAGATTTTCAAATCAAACTAAAAAAAATTAAGTGAACTAATATCCTTGGGTTGATGATGTTTGTATTGTCTTTAATATGCAAACTTTTTTTAAATGCTTATCTAGGATATCAGGACACTTAGCAGTCAAGCCACTCTGGCAGCTGAAGAATTTTCTAAACTTTATTATGAAACATTCGACAAGCGGAGACAGGTAAGTAGCTGTACTGTACACAGTACTCATGATTAACAGAACATTTATTATTGGGCATTAAGTTCTCCAGATTCTTCCACCTTGCTGGCTCTAATGATCAGCCGTCATAATCAAAATATCTGTTTATGCATCATCGATATGAGAGCTCACAAAAAAAAAATTTCTTGGGAAATTTACTTTTAGCACCACCAAATTGAAGTATTAGGTCCAGTTAGGAAAACCACAGAGGCCTATCTCTTTTCAACATTCCTGATAAAAGTTACTCTAGAATTCTTAAGCAGAGACTGAGAAGTCTGGCAGAACCACAGCTGGATCAAGACCAGTGTGGTTTCTGAGCAAACTGAAGTGCTCAAGACCTTATCTTCACACTCAGACAAAGTGCAAAAGCCCTTGAATACAAGAGTGAGATGCAACTACATTTTGTTTGGATCTGGTAAAGGCATTTGATAAGGTTCCCTGGAGCAAGCTTTAGGACTCCTTGGCAGGAAAAACATTCCAGCACCACTCATCAGTGCAATACAGTATTTCTAAGCTGCAGAAATTAGGTAAGAACAGCAGACCAAAAGTCAAAAGAATTTAGGACCACTAGCGTTGTTAGACAAGGTGGTATATCTCTTCATTCTTACGATGAATGATGTCGTCAGGACATATAAGGAGAAGACAAAGAAGTACTAAGTAGAATACTGGAAGATGAGACCAGTCTGTATATCACAGCTGGCATTTGCAGATGATGTGGCCTTGATAGCTAAATCAGAGGCACAACCATCAGTAACCAAGACTAAAACTATGGTGATCTCAAGAGAGTAGAAAAAACACAAGATCATGATGGGACTGTATGCATTGGAGCAGGTCAACCAGTTCAAATACCTTGGAGTTGCAATAGACCAAAATGGAGGCATTAAGACAGAGCTGGCTGCTCTAACAACAGCTGTTGAGAGACTTTTCCAGGCTATAAACCGAGGGGTTTCTTAGCAAAAAAGAAATTGGTAAGACAGTGAAAATGGCTGTTAACTGCTTTAGCTATGTGCCAGTCCTGACCTACGTGTATGAGTCATGGGCAATGACAACAGCTCACAGAAGCCAGCTTCAGGCCTCAGAAATGACATATCTGAGAAAGGTGGTCCAAGTTACAACGAACAAAGTTCGCAGTCAGACAGTACTTCAAGATTTTGAAACCCAGGCCTTACAAACTTGAGTGGGTCAGTCACAGTTACGATGGTTAAGACATGTTGCAGAATGGGAGAAAATTTGCCACCATTGCAGGCATGGGAGGCTAAGAACCAGGGAACCAAACCTGGCATCACAGGGTCTGCTGGGAAGGCAACATTTGACAGTTCCTGACTGACAGAGGACTGGAATAGAACAAAACCAGAAAGAAAACTGCTGATAGAAGTCTGGCGAAATCTCTGGTAAACCTCAAAACCCCAAGGTAGAAGGGGAGCGACTGAGTAAGTCAGAAGTAAATACTACTGAATTGTTTCCATTAAATAACCATAGGGAAATAAATTGACTAACGATTTCAGCTACATTTATCACAGAAATCCCTGAATTGTTCTTACTGGGCACCTGAAATATCTGATTAAGCCTGCTGATTATACTAACCAGTGTGCTGACTTATTAGGATACAGTGTAAAGTAGATTTATTGATTAGCTCAGTTCCGTGTTATTTCACTGAATATTTCATTCATATGTTTTCTCTCTATCAGCAGCTGCAGATTGTTACTGTGATGCACTAGTTATGTGTCCTGTCTCTTGTTTCCCGCCATGTTCATGCCCACCAGTGATGCCAAGTGGCACAGTTTTAGCTGTTTCAGTTAATCAGCTTGCATTTCAGTTTGTATATATGAGCATGTCATATATGATTCACACTATTTGTCATCCTCATTATCCCCACAATGGGTGCCCTTGTGTTTAGAGTTAATCACAGAACTACCTTCTGTGTATAAAGGTCCAGATAACTACCAGAAAGCTGTAATGACTGCCTCTCTTTCAGTTCTTATACAGATTGTAGTCATTACAGATCACAGCTTTTCTGTACAGTAAGAGTCCTCCACCCTACCTCAAAAGACAGCCTTCGCTACCTGTAATGATATATTCCTCTCCATAAAAGTTTAAATTCTATTTCCATTCTTCTTTAGAACCCTTCTCAGATGTTTCTGAAAAAAATAATGTGAATATTGCAGTTGACTTTTCATGCCTTGCATTAATTTATGAATGTCTTCTGTGAATAAGGAACTGCAGTAGCACAGTGACTAGCAAGTTTGCTTGATGGCTGTGGATGTGATTTCTCATCATTGTGTAATGTAATCATAATATATTTGTTTGAATATTAAAATAAGATTCATTTGCAGATGAAACATAATTATTTGTTGCAATTTTAATTGAATATCATAACCAGGTTTATTTACTCTACAGCAGTAGTTCTCAACCTTTCTAATGCTGCAACCCTTTAATACAGTCTCTCATGTTGTGGTGACCCTCAACCATACAATTATTTGTGTTGCTATTTCATAGCTTCCGTAAATATGTGTTTTCCAGTGGTCTTAAGTGACACATGTGAAAGGGTCGTTCGACCCACACAAGAGTTGCTGTATATAAACTGCTATATAAAGGAAAAGTGTTAAAATCTAAATCAGCATTACGTATAGCTAAGACATTACTTATGTTGTTATTTTATCTGTAGTGCATTTGGAATATTCCATTTATAATTTGAATAAATGGAAAATGCACGCATTTAAAGATTGTGTTATTCAGCAAATACTTTATCATATACAAGAGTCCAGTTATATATTTAGGACAGACATGAATATATTAATAATTTGTTTATTGTTGTTTTGACAGGCCATTTCTAAAATATATCAAGACAAGGCCAATCTTGTATGGAATGGGCACATTTTGTCTGGTTCAGAGGCGATATTTAAATTCTTCGATGGTCTCCCTCAGTCAGAGCATGTCGTTGAAGGAATGGACACACAGCCAATAGCTGCAGGTAAAATGTTATCTGTGTTTCAGTACACTGCAGTTTAAAGAAAGGTTTGGTAATGTGAAATGTCCAAAATTTGTGCAGAAAATATAGACAATATAGCAGAGTCAACTCCATCTGGAAGTCATGCAAGACATGCTGGACTTTAAATAGCAACTACTTGTTTCTTATCGTGTGATGAGTCATGAGTGCTCTATAGAAGCCAAAATGTAATTTTCGCAGTAGAGACCATGACAGGATCACTGCTTGAATGGACCATAGCTACACAAGGCTTCTGGAATAATTAACTCCTGTTTACATGATTGGTACAGTTTTAAAAATTGTAGTTTGATAAGATGGTTGTAACAGCATTGTTGGTTAACATTATGACTTATTCTTATACACCGTTGTTTAAAAAAAAAAAGATATATTTTGTCACAGTACGAGAAAATTTTTACTTTAGCACCTAATTTAAGATATATGCACTTCAGAGCAACAATCTTTGTGCCTCAATTAAGTAAAATAGTTGAATTATGAAACAGGATGAATTACAGTAGCCACCGTGGTAGAAAGAATGAACATAACAGGAGTGGGATATAAAAAAGTGAAAACAATTTATTCCTTATATAGAGCTATCAGTTAATTTGAGGTGAATTAACTGGCAGGAAAAGAGGCAGACCAATAAACACATGGAAAAGGGGACTGGAGAGTGAAGATATAAAAGGTTTGAAGGACAGGAGGTGAGCTGCATGCAGTAGCAAAAGATAGAACGATTGTGGTACAGTACCATGTATTATTGCACAGCCTCTGTATAATTTAGATATACTACCACTATAATGTGCCAGTGCTTTACCTTATACTTGTATCAGCTCTATTGGCCGGAGAAAGAGAGAGACTCAGTCGTATCATGAGGAGAAAAATGTTCTGTAAAGGATCAGCTGTTTGATGATGATGATGATGATATCAGCACTAAAAGGACAACTGTGTTGAATTTTTGTGTGTGCAAGAAAACATATTCTGGGCATTGATTGATTTACCTTCTATATTTGAACATGTTTACTAACATTGATTCATCTGTAGTGGGAGTAAATGTTCAGTCAGTCTTGGGTTATTCTCTTATTGCAATGACTTTTGAACTCTGGGATAATAGCAAATAAATTACAGAACACCTAGGAGTTATCTTTAGAAACATAAAAGGAATGTAAAGCCAAACATCTTCTTTTGATGATTAAGCTTAACTGATGTAAATATGATATGTTACTTTCATACATACACACACAGATATATACACACAAAAACATTTTCATGCACAGTTATTAACATGTATATTTAAATTTGAAGTGCACACAATTTCTGATTATATTTTTGCAGGGACAGTCAATGATGAAGTCAGTAACTCTATAGTTGTGACATTCCTGGGCAAAGTCAAGTTTAAAGGATCTGATTTTAAAGTGTTTACACAGACATTTATATTGTGCTCACAAGAAAACAAATGGAAGATTGTCAGTGATAAATTTAGATTTATGGAATAAACAGTTTCTTAGTATTGTAGTCCTGTCTCTGTACTTAATTTCATTTTGAACAGTTGCAATACCATTTAAATCTTTTGTGCCCCTACACTGCAATCAGACAAAGTGCAGGTTGCTTGCATTTTTGTTTCTTAAATATCATTTTAATTTATTACTGGCAAATAATGTCACACCACGGATAGGTAGTTGAAAACAAAACCTGCCAGTAAATGGAAGGAATCTGAGAAAATCTTAGAGAATATCTAGTGTCACATTGTGTGCATTGATAAGGTTGAATATTGCAAACACTGCCATAGATCTAACACACTCTGTGGAGAGTATTAGGCGACTGGAAGTATCTAAATTAAAGTTAGTTGTGTATCCTTTACATTGCAGAACTAACCTAAGCATTTTTTGGCTGTTGTAGTTTTTCAAAGCAAATTACATCCAGTAGTTTGCCATTGCTTTCTGGATGGTCGGCCTCTATCGCAAGGCCCTAGGCCTGCAGCTGGGATCGAACCTAGCACCCCAGCATTATGAAGTGTGTTCGCAACGCCTAAGCCACAGATGCCTTATCTAAATTAAGCAGTCTGTAATCCTTTAAACCTGTGAAAGCCTCAAGTATTGTAGGACAGGTATGATCCTGTGGCATTTCCTGGTTCTGCTCAGTGTTTCTTTTTGTAACAACATGAGCTTGCAAGGTGTTTACCTGGCGGATACCTTTGATATGTAAAACTGCTCATGCATAAAGTTCAGTGTAGCCCATATTTAGTCCTAAGCAGCCGTAATGTCTTCAGCAATGTTGGAGTTATCTGAGATGACTAGGGTCTCCACTTGTGCAATATTGATTGCACCATCCTTCACTGGATGATCTGCTTCTCCTAGCTGCCTTTACATCTGCTATGTGTCATTTTCTTCAATGTTTTACAATATCTTTTTTCTTCGAAACTCCAGGCCCCTGAGATATCATCGCTTTCTGATTGACCTTCTGTTGCCAGTTGGTAACTCCATGTGATTGTCGTCTGCATGCATATTCTGTCCCCACCATCTCTTGGTCAGCCCTGTAGTTCAATTCGGCTCTTTTGTTGTCTCTCTTATCTGGCATTCTGTCTTTATATTCTAACGATCCCAGTTTGTTAGCCCTCATGAGGCCAGTGCTTAATTTAATTTAAAGAAATTTCAATTTTGTTGTTGTTTCTCTCTTTACTGTTTGCATCTTTGATGGTTTAAAATATGTGTCATAAGACTTTGTATATCTTCTCAATAAGTCTTATGAGTCACATGACTAAGATTTTACTGAATTGTGAGAAGAATAAAAAAACAAAATTAAACCAGAAATCAGCGATGAACAATGTGGATTTGTAGAAGGAAAAGCTACAAACAATGCCATCCTAAGGGCATTGTCAGAAAGAGCAGTAGAAGTAAAGACTGATTTGTACTTATGCTTCATAGACTATACAAAATCATTTGACTGTGTGAAGCATGAAGAAGTAATCAAAATGTTAGAAAAATTAAACATTGATGGAAAAGATCTACAAATAATAAATAATATGTATTGGCAGCAAACAGCAGCTATATGAATTAACAACTGTTTAAGTACATTTGAAAGCATAAAGAAGGGTGTACGACAAGGATGTGTACTATCACCTGATTTTTTTTCAATATACAGTGAATATATAATGAGATCTTTAATTGATATGCCTGGAATTGTGGTTGGTGGGCACAATATAAACAATTTACGTTATGCTGATGACACAGTCTTGATAGCAACAAGTCAGAAAGAACTACAGGAAATGATAGACATTGTGGTGTTAGAAAGTGGAAGAATGGGCCTCAGTTTGAATAATGGGAATACAAAAGTAATGGTGGTATGAAAGAAACAAATTATTCCTAAATGTGTAATAAAAGTTGATGGTGTTATTTTAGGACAAGTTCAGAAATTTAAGTATTTGAGCACATGGATAACATCAGACAGAAGATGCATAACTGAGATAAGAAACAGAATAGGACAGGCAAAAACTGCATTTTATAAAATAAAGAAAACTTGTGCAATATACTTGTCTTTGAGAGTTAGGAAAAGAAATCTTGCTTGATACATACATCCAGTTTTAACATATGCCTGTGAATCCAGTAGGCAGGCCAAACAAATTCTTGAGGCCTCAGAGATGTGGTTTTACAGAAGAATGCTTAGAATACCTTGGACAGCCAAAAAGAGCAGCCAAGAGGTTCTGAAAGAGGCGGGAGCCCGAAGACAACTTATCATAGACATCAGACGGAGTCGGTCATCATTTTTCGGCAATGTTATGAGAAGGGGGAAAATAGAACATATGAACACTGGAAAGACCTGTGGAAAGAGGGATAGAGGAAGACAACGAGAGAAGATTCTTGACAGTTTTGTTGCATGGCATGGAGGTGTGTTGGCACACGAACTGATACATTCTGCAGGAGATCGTGGATTATTGAGAGGCACGATCGCCCACGCCAGTCGACAAGGCACCTGATGATGATGATGATATCTTCTCCTCGACTAACGACCAATTTCCAATCTAATTGGCTGTGTCAAATTTAAATTTTTCAAAACTATTTTTATTCAGGCGGGCTATACAGATTGTACATAAAACATAAAAATTCAATCTTCATACAAACAATTATTGTACATAATGTACTATAGGCACTAGTTCCAGGAACTTTTTTTTACCCTACTAATGTAATCTTTCTTTATTTACTATTATTATTCATTTTGTGTGTGTGTGATCATAAATTGAGGAAAAAATGTAATAGGGCTTTATTTCTTTCAGTTGTATTTCAAGTTTTAAAACCATATAGAAGATTTGATCTGATTTTGTCAACAAATTGTAATCTTGGTCTTACGAGATAAAGCATTTCTTCTTCTTCTGCCTTCAACCAAAGATGTAAATGTGTTATTACACCTGTTTACAGCATGACTGTGATGTCTGCACTTTTTGGCAGACACATCTGACTTCTGACCGTGTTAGCCTTCCCAGAAATAAAGTATTTGAGTTTGGAAGATGTAAGAGATATTCATATTATTTAGTTGTGTATGGCCAGAGTTTTTAAAACTGTTTCCCACTCTTTTTTATTACCATGCTTTCTGTCCTATCTGGATCCATAATTAGTCGCGAGAGTTGCTTCCTTTAAGTGAGTCAGTTTTTTGTTTTAACTGTCCCTTTATTTCCTTTAAGTATATCTATGACATCTGTGTAACTAAGTATTCTTGTTTCTCTTTTAGAGTAATTTTCCTTATAATTATTCCTAGTTGAAAAGAAGTGGGAATAGGGCAACACCTTGGTTTAAGCCATATATTGTTTGAAAAGGTCTGAAGTTTAATATATATTATATGTTAATTTTCAAGAAATTGAAAGAAAATGTAGTATCATTGAAATAAAAAAATGGAAAGACAATTTTAAAACAGTGAAAAGAACACTATAGCTGTGATGGAGAAGATGGCGATGACTCAGACACTGACAGAACGAAGAGACACTAAGATACTAATACACGCTGAAAAGTTTTTAAGCATGCCTGAACACCCTATGAAAGGAAGATTCCAAAATCTAGCAGTGGGTGACTAAAAAAAAAACAGTTTAATTCACCAGGCCCAACAACTCTGCAGGCAAACTAATGATCTGCCTGCAGCAAATAGCCCCTTAAATGCTATTCCAGATCAGACCCCTTGGAAAGAGGATTATAAGTTGTCAATACACATCAAGATAGAAGTGAAAGGAGTATTCGACAAAGAAGAACAAAACTGCAACATACAACAGCCACCCTAGCTACCCACTGCATGGATGCGTCATTTGCAGTCTCAACAGGTTGACCAGATCAGACTTTATCAACAATTGTAAAGCGTCCTTGAGAACAATTATTTACCCAGCTAATAAATAATCAGAAAATAATCAGAAAACAGAAAATCCAGTTATCTTTATTTTTGAAGCACTATAAGAAGTCAACACATTCTTATACATAGGAAGTAATGTTATCCAGATAAGGATTCTGAAAAGGATTTAACATCAAGAAGTAACAAACCAAGTATTTGCCATGCTTGACAATATTTTGAAAAGAAAATGTTAGATTATGCAAGAGAAATATTTTAGGAATCCTATACAAGTGCTGGAAATGGCAGCAGGAATGATACATAAAGACTTATCACAATAAATATCTAAGAAGAATCCCGAATATATTTTAGGAAGATCACAAATGGAGCACTGGAGAGGAAAATGAAATCTTTGTCACTGGCAAACATTATCAAAGGATGCAGACTCAGATAGCATGGACATATTTGCAGAGTGTCTAATGATGAAACAACAGATGAAAAACGGAAAGATGGACAACCTAAGAAAACCTGGAGAACAGCAGAAAGAGAAATAAACGGATGTGAAATAATTTTATGTCAAAAAGTGGCATTGGTTTCTTTCTGTAAGAGAGTTCGAGTGACAGATCTTCTTCATTATTTCAGAATGGCATTGGACAGCAGATGTGGGTCAAGTTTATATTCTATCTAAGTGATTGCTCCAGGATACAGTTATTATTGCAGAAAACAATTCCTGTTGTGAGAACTAGATGGTAGGTGGACCTCAGTATAACATGTTAACACCTGGAAAGTCTAGTCAGAGGCCCTCCCACAATGTTGTCAACTCCCAACTGTGTATAACAGTAAGCAGGGAGGAACCTTCTCATAAACCCACAATATATAACTTCAGCTAAATCACTAAGAATGAAATCAAATTCCTGATTTCATTCCAACAAAACCAGAGAAAAGACTCAAAAAATATAACTTCAGAAATGCCGGTGCACAAATCCTAGCAAAACTGTCACCGTACACTCACCGAAATAGTCCCCCCCCCCCACCCCCACAGTGAGAAAGACCACAGCCTCCTGTAGCTTTTCAGAGCCGGTCGCGGAAAGACCAATACGCATTAGCAGTCCCCACTTTGGTTAGAAATAATTGTAGTCCCTCTGTTCTGTGTTTTTAATTTTTATTTAAATGAAAGCGATGAAAACAGTAA